CATTCATTCATTCATTCATTCATTCATTCAGTCATTCATGCATTCATTCAATCATTCATTCATCCATCCATCCATTCATTCCATTCCTTTCGTTTATTCATTCATTCATTCATTCATGCATTCATTCATTCATTCATTCATTCATTCATTCATTCATTCATTCATTCATTCATTCATTCATTCATTCATTCATTCATTCATTCATTCATTCATTCATTCATTCATTCATTCATTCATTCATTCATTCATTCATTCATTCATTCATTCATTCATTCATTCATTCATTCATTCATTCATTCATTCATTCATTCATTCATTCATTCATTCATTTCATTCATTCATTCATTCATTCATTCATTCATTCATTCTTCCTTCCTTCCTTCCTTCCTTCCTTCCTTCCTTCATCCATCCATGCATGCATGCATGCATGCATGCATTCATTCATTCATTCATGCATTCATTCATGCATTCATTCATCATTTGTTCATTCATTCATTCATTCATTCATTCATTCATTCATTCATTCATTCATTCATTCATTCATTCAATCATTCATTCATTCATTCATTCATTCATTCATTCATTCATTCATTCTTTCATTCCTTCATTCCTTCATTCCTTCATTCCTTCATTCCTTCATTCCTTCATTCCTTCATTCCTTTATTCCTTCATTCCTTCATCCAGCCATGCATGCATGCATGCATGCATGCATGCATGCATGCATGCATTCATTTATTCATTCATTCATTCATTCATTCATTCATTCATTCATTCATTCATTCATTCATTCATTCATTCATTCATTCCATTCCTTTCGTTCATTCATTCATTCATTCATGCATTTCTTTCGTTCATTCAGTCATTCATTCATGCATTCATTCAATCATTCATTCATCCATCCATCCATCCATTCGTTCATTCATTCATTCATTCATTCATTCATTCATTCATTCATTTATCCATTCATTCATTCATTCCTTCGTTCCTTCCTTCATTGATTTCATTCCTTTCATTTCATATCTGCATTTCATTCATTTCATTCATTTGGCTCCGCAACGCAACAGCAACCCAATGGCGTGACCAGGAACAATCCCCAAGCTCAACGCCTACCAAGGGCAAACAGGGCAAAGAGTGTGACTCCTCAAACAGCGCAGAAAAAGAGCACCTGCGCATCAAATGAAAACCAGTCGTATTGACTGCCCCAACAAGCGACAAATCCAATGTTGCGCAACAGCGCAGGACAAGTGGAATATATATAAGGTTAATTCCACAACTTGGCAGGGTCACTCACAAGAGTGTGCAGTCCTTCCAATAATACCACACGCGAAAACCTCGGCTGTGAGCGGGCTGCGCACGTTGAGCAGTGCCCTGCCCGTGACCAACAGGGCAAGAAAACTACGCTACCCAGGCACATTTTTAGTGAGGCACAGTGACTCAAAAGGGGGGCTAGTCCCTCAAATTGCCTGAGCTATTGCCAGCGCTCTTCGCACGTGAAAAAATGAAGCAAATTGCCTTGAGGTGAGCCTAGCCACCGCGTGTACTTTTCTCCACGCCAGCCAGTAGGAGGTCAAAACCACTCTGCAACGCTCGGGGCCAAGTGCCTCTCATGACGCTTTCCTCTCCTTTCCATGATGAGAACAAAAAAAGGTCTTTGAGCGATCGTTAGGGCAAACCAGGAATCCCGCTGCTGAAGCCTGACTGCATGGAATGCCCTCAAGATTCAAAACGCAGACAGGATCTTGCAGTGTGCGCCTGGGCAAACAAAGAATCCCTCTTTCACCTTTCGACAGATTCCACGAATGATTGCGAAGCAACAACAATCAAATCAAAGGCTCCTCAAAACTCGGGGCAGCCTATGGGCTACGTTCCTAGGATTCCACGAAGCTAGGGATTCTGGCTGCGGATCTCCTTGGCCTTCGCGCACAAAGCCTTGCCCATGCCACTCGTGCCGCCCACAGGGCAAAACCCAGCGATGCTAAGTTGGCGCCTAGCTTCCTTCACTGCGCTTGCCCAGGGCGCAACGTGGTTATCCTTCTTGCCAAGCTCTGAGAGCTTCTTGGAGATCATGTGCCCGCGGTGGTTGCGGATGAACTTGTCGCCATCATCCTGCGCGCGCTTGCTCTGCCGCTTCAATGAAGCAGCTGGCCGCTTCAACGAAGCAGCTGGCCGCTTCAACCAAGCAGCTGGCCGCTTCAACAGCTCGGGCTTTTTGTGGTGCTTCTGAGTCTTGCTCGCTGCTTTGCTTCCCATTCCACGCTCCGGATGCTTCTGAGTCTTGCTCTTGCTGCCCTGATCCTTCTCCAAGGGGGGTCTTATCTCGCCACTGCATGATGACTTCGCTTTTCTGGCTGCTGCGGTTGAGATTGGCTCTGAAGACATTCGGCCATTTCTGGCAGAGCAGCTTCACACATGCTTTCTCGCCGTCGGCTTTCCGGTCATCATCGCAGCCACCAGACTGGTAGTGCTTCGCCATGACGTGCAAGCGGTTTGCTCGCAAGACGGCGCCATGTACAGCGATCTGGCTGCACGTGAAGTCGTAGTCGTGCTTCAGCGGCATGCCCTCATCAAACCGCACGTGGGTGGACTCCTCAGCAATCAGCCCCGGCCACCCGGCCAGGAGATGCTGGGAATCAAACAAAGAGAAATTAGTTCTTTGATCAAGTAAACGTTGCCAACGGCTCAAAGACACCCTCAAGCCATCAACCACAAAGAAATCAGCCATGATGAAATGCCTGTACCTTGTCTCCACGCAAGTGTGCTTTGCCAAATGTAAATCAAACGGTGGGGGGTAGAGCGCGAGCCTTTCCAAAGAAACACCAAATGGGAAACGGCCATTTGTGAGGGCTCCCTGCTTCCCGACAATCTCACAAAAGCCGCCCTCTTCTAACAAGAAGTTGTCCTGGGTGGCCAGGCAAGAAGGTTTGAGCATGGGGTGTGGTTCTCTTTGGGGCTTGGTTCGGGGGCATGCTTTGCTCTGCCTACACAAAGCTCTAGACCCAAGTGGGCCGAAAGGCCGCTTTAAGGCGCTAAAACCATAGCTTTTGTCAAAAGGCTAGTGCAAGCAAGCAGGCGTAAGGCACAACCTGCAGTTCCAAGACCCTCCTTGTTGGTTGCCAAAACTGTGTGAAGGTTTCACTAAAGCTTTGGCCTTTGAAGGAATGCTTCTGCTGCAAAAGGAACACTGATGTTTCAAGGCCGGAGCACGTGAAAGCCGGCATCTTCAAGCACCGTGACTGGCCAGGTGCAGGGTAGCACCCTCCACATCTGGGCAGGTCCAATGCCCTCATCTTGGCCAATAGAAACTGCATAGCCTTGTTGCATTCGGAATCTGACAAGACCACAGTCCACATCGAAGTACTTCAGGCCGGCCACATCGTCAGAGATCTGAACGCACACCTTGCTCATGCTCAGGGGCCATGTTCCGGGCTGGCGCCAGCTGCCCCCCAGCTTTGACCTCAAGGCCCAGAGCTCTATAGTCTGCCAAGCTCGCCTCATCTACATACCATGTCGGCGTGACCCCCTCCACTTCTCCACCCGCATGATGCCCCGCCGGCCGCTCGCTGTCTGCGCTCGTCGAGCAGACATCGCAGCCCAGCGGAAGGCTGCTGAGGGCGTAGCAACTCGTCCCCCTCTGAAGCACTGAGACGCGCTAGCAGGTCTTGTGAAACCAAAGCCATTGACTCTACTGGCCAATCTGGTCTGATCTGCTCTGCTCTGCTCTTGTCTGCCAACTGTTCCAACCTAGTGGCTGCTCATGTCTGTTGACTGCTGCAGTCTGTCTGCGGCTGTCTACCTGACTGCTTCTGCGCTGACGGCTCCTGACTGCGGCTGTTTGGTGATTGATCCTGTCTGCTGGCTGCTGCTGTCTGCTGGCTGCTCCTGCTCGTTGAGATCAAATGGTCACATCATTAGAAACTGCGCAGGGCCTTTCCAAGCGGAAAGGAATTGCATGTCACTATTCGCGATTGCCAGCAACAAAGTTAAGGCATGCGGGTGAGCTTGACCAATTTGGACAGTGCTGATGCCCCGCCGCCATGACAACGGGACAGCTGGTGAATTGACAAAGAGATTCGTTTGGTAGGATCACTGACAAGAGCAGTCAGCAAACAGGAGTAGGTTGGCACCTACATTGCAAAATGGGTGAACATGTCATACAAGTAGTGTATAATTTCCAGGCATCGTCCTCAACATCCATTTCTCCTTGAGTTGTTGTGATTTTGGTGGCCCTGTTTTGACACATACCCATAGTGTGAATGAATACAAAGCCCACTCGGATCGAGCGGCACAGGTTTCTCAAAAAAAGGTTTCTCATTGGGTATTATCCAACTGGTGCAGGGTTCTGTCCCTCAAATTATATTTGCTTAGCTTCCCCTAAATGACCCGAAAGGGGGCACGGTTGTTTTTTGTGTCCAGGCGCTCTATTTTGCACTCAGGGATTGTTTTGGTGGTGTTGTTGAGAGAAGCCAAGGAGAACCCGATCCCATTTGTGACATGGTCCTCGGATTTGTTGAGCCAGACGCTCCCAACTCATGTTTCGGGGCCTCGAGCCCTCACGGGCCCTTGCTGCCCTCGGGCTGGGGGGGCCTTCTAAGAAGGCTGGTGGCAAGATAGCGCAGATATTAGAGAAAGTAAGTAGATAGTCCAGATACCGGACATTTAGTCTGAACTTAATATCTACTGGTTCTTTTACTAGGAAGATTCTAAAGATAAACACAAATAAAAATAAAAGATAAACAAGGATCAAACAAACTAGATAAGACAACAAATAAAACAATAAGATAACAACACACACAAATAAAACAACATAGTTGATGTAAATAACTTGCAAAGAGCTTGCTCTTCAGCAGAAGAATCGTTGCAGCCGGGTGAATCAACAAATGCGACTTTCGAGCTGGAATTGCGGAAGTGTCAAGCACTCTTCTCTCGTTACAGACTTACAAGAGCCCCGTTACATACCTCCGCACCAAGATTCGCGCCGTGTCGGGCGTTGCACCATAGCCATGTATAACCATAACCCGAACAATGGCATCATCCTGGCGCAATAAAATGTGGACCTGGTACAATAAACTAGCCATCTAGTTTGGGTTGGTGGTTTGGAGGGCCGGTTTTCCATTAGTTTGGGTTGCGTTTGGAGGGGCCGTTTGTTTCATTTAGTTTGGGTTGGTAGTTTGGAGGGGGCCGCTGTTTTCATTTGGTTTGGGTTGCTGGTTTGGAGGGGCCGCTTGTTTCATTTAGTTTGGGTTGGTTGTGCGGAGGGGCCGCTTGTTCTATTTAGTTTTGCTGGGTGGTCCTAGTTTCACTTAATTTTCGTTGGTGGTTTGGCTGGAGGGGTGGGCTTTTCCATTTGCTGGTTTGGAGAGGCCGTTTTTGTCACTATGTTTGGGTTGGTAGTTTGGATGGGGCCTTTTTTGTAAGTTCTACTTTGGGTTGCTGGTTTGGAGGGGCCGATTGTTTCATAAAGTTTGGGTTGGTAGTTTGGAGCCGCTTTTTCCATTTAGTTTGGGTTGCTGGTTTGGAGGGGCCGCTTGAATCATGTAGTTTGGGTTGCTGGTTCGGAGGGGCCGCTTGTTTCATTGAGTTTGGGTTGGTTGCGTGGAGGGGCCGCTTGTTTCATTGAGTTTGGGTTAGTTGTTTGGAGGGGCCGCTTGTTTCATTTAGTTTGGCTTGGTTGTTTGGAGGGGCCGCTTGTTTCATTGAGTTTGGGTTGGTGGAAGTTACGCAAGTTGGGTCGCTCAAATCATTGGGAATTTTGGAAGAAACCAACTAGGTCAACATCCAGGGCCCTCGAATCTGAGTTCCGGGCTTGGCGAGATTGAAAAACCAACAAAAAAGGTCAAAAACCAGGCCCCCTCAAATGATTTGGGGAGACCAACAAAGTTCAAAACGCTGAAAATCCCGGGTCCCCAAAGTGATGTGTCTTTACTTGGGGAGTTCAAACAGTTCGAAATCCCGGGTCCCCAAAGTGATGTTCCGCCGGGTGTTTCTTTACTTGGGGAGTTCAACAAGTTCAAAATCCCGGGTCCCAAAAGTGATGTTTTTTTACTTGGGGAGTTCAATAAGTTCAAACCCCAAAGTGATGTTTCTGTACTTGGGGAATTCAAAAAGTTCAAAAATCCTGGGTCCCCAAAGTGATGCTTCTGTACTTGGAGAGTTCAAAACATTCAAAAGTTCAAAATCCCGGGTCCCAAAAGTGATGTTTCTTTACCTGGGGAGTTCAAAAAGTTCAATTGCCCTGTTTTTGCGCAGTTGGAGGTCCTGTCACTGGCTTGCTTGGTTGGGCCCCTGCTTTGCGTGAAGTGGGGTTTGTTCAGCCCAGAGGCTCGTGGGCCCTCCTAGTGGGAGGGTCCGGGGCCCTCCCTCCTGCAAGGAAGGCCTATTGTCGGATACGGGGCCTGGCTTCAAGGGCCAGAACGAGAGCTGCAGAGAGCTACGGAATGGCGGGCCAAGCGCAGGTCCAAATTTCTGGAAAATTTGCATTTTTTTGGGGGAAGGATTTGCCGGTTTCTGGGAGGATTTGACGGAAGTTGGACCTGTTTTCAGAGGGGGTTTGACAGACTTCGATTCTCAGAGGCCCCAGTTTTAAGGGGAATTTGGCGCTCCCAGCCCTGGCAGCCGGCTGCTTACAGGCTTGCTTCAGGCGGACTGGAGGCAGCTGGAGCAGGGATCTTGGCGGGTCGGACGGACCAATTTAAAAAAAGGGTTTAGAAGATCCTGCACAGGTTCTGAAGGGGTCTGACCGCTTCCTGGCCCTGGGGGCCGAGGCGAAGATACTGTGACCGGGAGAATTCGGAGCAATTCTGTGATTTGCGAAAAGCGTGTCAAAGGGTTTGACAAGGGTTCATATCCGTTTTGTTTGTTTGGGGGGGCTGTTCTGGGCTGGAGGCATTGTTTTTGCGCGCCAGGTGGAAGTGTCAGAAGACGTGGACCCGGTGCTCTGCCCGGAATATGCAGTCAGATGGAAAGCGAGGGAAGCTCTTTGTTTGCTTTGTTGTCTCGTTGGTCTCGTTTGTCTTGCTTGTCTTGTTTGTTTGTTCAGAAAGCACCCTCCATTGGCGAGGCTTTTCGGGATCTCCATGGGTTTTGTGAGTCTCGGACATGAAACAGGTCCCAACTTCTAAGGTCGGTGCAAGGGAGTAACATCCAACCATTTTTTTCAAGGGAAGGCATTACCACGGATGTGGCTTATCCCCTAGCTGAAGGCGTTCGTCTTCCGAATTCACGATGGCTGAGTCTTGCCCAGACGTCCACTGTTGAAGCGTGTCTCCTCTGTGGGCAAGAGTCAACGCATGCTGACAAGCCTGTCAGTTTTCAGACCATATGCATCAAATGCCTCATTCACGGCACACTGTTGTGTTGGGATGGCATCGGTACGCCAGGTATTGAAAGTTTGTTGTTAACGGTCCGAGCGGAGCAGCACGCAGCACGCAGGTGATTGCTAAGTTCTCATGACAAGTTGCATCGTTGATTTGGGTACCCTTCCGAGCATCCTGCTGAACCCTGGGCCAGTTTTGTTCCCCAACTCACAACTTTCATTGGGTTGTCGGCAAGAAAAAACAGCTGTCACGTGTATTGGGCGTGTATAGAACCCCAATGCAAACCCAAAGTTGATATGAACACCCGATGCATCTGATTTTCTGAAACACCCAATGCCTGTGACATATTTGGTTTTTTTCAAAAACGGAAAACCAGACACAAAGTCGAATCAAACCCAATGCCAAGGAGCAAATGATCTTCGGCCAGCAACGGCAGCCCTTCCCCAAGATCTTGCAGCCAGAGCTGTTGGAGGCGATCTCCGCCTGGCGGACTCTGCTTAGATTGGGAGGAATAGCTCGATGGCTAACCCTGGCTGTAACCCATATGTCCCCGGCAAATCGGGGCTGAAGGCTTGTGGACATGGTTGAAACAGTCAACATAGGACCTGAAGATGGCCCTTTTTGGGGAAGACCATTTGAGGGATCCCCAAAAATTATCCGCCTCCTTGCAGACATGCATGCGTGTGAAAAAACAGGGCTAAAATTACGCAAAACGAAGGCGGCCAGGAGAGAAACGAAGGTGACCCTGAAAAAGAATTTTCCAGAGATATTCCAGGTTTGCGCCTTCTGATTTTTGGAGATAGCTCATTTACCGGGCACATATGTCCAACCATGAAGACCATTTGCTTGTAACAGGGGGCCCTGGGTTCCATGCTTGTTGTGGCGTCATGTTTTTTAGCGATATTGGTTTATTGGGGCTGACCTGTGCATTGTAGCGGGGAGAAACAATCAACGGCTGGATTGGTGATAAAGTGGTTAAAGTCCTGGGAGAGTAATAGGCTCCTGTGATGTCTGGCTGAGGAAAAAACGGATCTACCACTCAGGAGGTTCAGCTCTCCGCTGGATGGTTAATTTGGAAGCGGCCAAGTACACACAATTCATCTCGGGTTGCCAAGAAAAAACATGCGAGGTCATTCAGGGCGATGGAACATATCTGGACCTTGATCTTGGGGAGCCTTCCCTTGACGCCGGAAACCCCACGGCTGGTTTTTCATGGCGTTTTGCGTTTTTAGAGGATGTTGGCCACTTGAGACGTGCATGCTTTGTTTTTTTTTTTGTTTTTTTTTGGGGGGTGTTGCCTTGAACGGGCCTGGACACACGCACAGAACAACACAAAGAAGTGAACATCCATCTCAAGCATTGGCATGGCCGTCACAGTTCTCCCGTTCTCCCTTTGGTTTCCCGAGCCCGAAAAAGGGCACCGTTAACAACAGCTCTGTTGCGGGTGTGTGAAACATGTATGGTAAAGAGACGCCTCTCGACAAATTGAGTTGAAGGCTCAACTGGCACCACCCCAATTGGTTGCGTTGTTCATTTCCCTGAAGCCAAACGTCTGCCAGGGTCGCCTGAGCAACCGTTTTTTGTTTGTTTTTTCCCCACGGCTCAAGAGGGAGCAACCCTGATTTGGCGGCTTGAAGCTCTCCCCATTTTCTAGCAGGCCGGGTGCACTTGAACAAACCATCCGACGTAGTTGAATGTCCCATCCTCCGTTTGGATAAGCCAACACCATTTGGATCCAGCAAGTTTGCAGAAACTCCATCTGGGTCTTAAAATAGAGGGAGCAGAACATCGCCCATCCCGCGCAAGATCCTGTAAGTGCCGTTTTGGGAAAGTCAAGATGGACATTTGACGCTTTTGCCAATGAGAGGGATTAGTCTTTCCAGGCCTTGCGGTCTTCCATGTTTGGCTTTATGTAGATTCGGCCGGTGACCGTTTCGTCTCGCACATCACCCATCCCCTGTTGGTTCTTGTTGCAGTCGGATGCCCCAAAATGATGAGTGATATCCACGTGTTCTTGGTTTGAGGGTCCTCAGATCTTTTTTTTCAGGTTCGGTCTTGTTGGATGGCTTCAAGACCGGTAACCCCCAATTAGTGGTTGGGATTCGTGGTTTGGGGATTTGAACCCCTGGTTATGGGACGTCTAGCCAAACCTCCAAACCGGGCTCCAAACCACCCTTTTTGACGGAAGCTGAAAAAGGGTTCCTTGCAGAGCACATAGCCTCAACCCTTAAGCTGATCAAAGGGAAAACCTCTTAGAGAATGAGGGAGGGAATCGCCTCTGTAAACCATCGCCTATGGTTTCCGACATTCGAAGATCCCAAAACGGTTCGATCCCAACACCCGGACTCGGAAGTTCTCGACGCTGGCCCCCCGGCAACCAATGGTTTCGGAGGCCTCCAACAGAAAAAGAACTGGAAGGTCTGAAGGTTACAGTCCACCCCCACACAACCTCGTTTTTTGTTTACAAACCACCTACGAAACTGCACCAAGTTGAGTGTTTTCACGGGTAGAGGGTATGTGACTGGCTTCTCCTTGCATCGCCAGGCCTTGGACTCCCTAGGCTTTCGGCATGCCACCCGCATCCAGGTCCGCTGGAAAATGGGGCGAAGAGTACCTTGAGAAAGTGGTGGAAAGTAGCATGCAAATCGTTTAGACTCTCTTTCGGCCATCCATGCAGGAAGTGTGGAAACTGACACACACACACACACACGTGCGCGCGCGTGTGTGTGTGTGTGTGTGAGAGTGTGTGTGTGTGTGTTTACGTATTTTTGCTTGTTTTTGTTCCGTGTTTGCGTGTTTGCGTGTTTGCGTGCTTGCGTGCTTGCGTGTTTCCGTGTTTCCGTGTTTCCGTGTTTCCGTGTTTCCGTGTTTCCGTGTTTCCGTGTTTGCGTGTTTGCGTGTTTGCGTGTTTCCGTCTTTCCGTGTTTCCGTGTTTCCGTGTTTCCGTGTTTCCGTGTTTCCGTGTTTCCGTGTTTCCGTGTTTCCGTGTTTCCGTGTTTGCGTGTTTGCGTGTTTGCGTGTTTGCGTGCTTGCGTGCTTGCGTGCTTGCGTGCTTGGGTGCTTGGGTGCTTGTGTGCTTGTGTGCTTGTGTGCTTGTGTGCTTGTGGGTGTGTGGGTTTGTGGGTTTGTTTGTTTGAGGGTTTGTGGGTTTGTGGGTTTGTGGGTTTGTGGGTTTGTGGGTTTGTGCGTTTGTGGGTTTGTGGGTTTGTGGGTTTGTGTGTTTGTGTGTTTGTGTGTTTGTGCGCTTGTGGGCTTGTGTGCTTGTGTGCTTGTGTGCTTGTGGGCTTGTGTGCTTGCGGGTTTGTGGGTTTGTGGGTTTGTTTGTTTGCGGGTTTGTGGGTTTGTGGGTTTGTGGGTTTGTGGGTTTGTGGGTTTGTGGGCTTGTGTGCTTGTGTGCTTGTGCGCTTGTGTGCTTGTGGGCTTGTGTGCTTGTTGGTTTGTGGGTTTGTGGGTTTGTGGGTTTGTGGGTTTGTGGGTTTGTGGGTTTGTGGGTTTGTTGGTTTGTGGGTTTGTGGGTTTGTTTGTTTGTGGGTTTGTGGGTTTGTGGGTTTGTGGGTTTGTGTGTTTGTGTGCTTGTGGGTTTGTGGGTTTGTTTGTTTGTGGGTTTGTGGGTTTGTGGGTTTGTGGGTTTGTGTGTTTGTGTGTTTGTGTGCTTGTGTGCTTGTGTGCTTGTGTGCTTGTGTGCTTGTGTGCTTGTGTGCTTGTGGGTTTGTGGGTTTGTGTGCTTGTGGGTTTGTGGGTTTGTGGGTTTGTGGGTTTGTGTGTTTGTGTGCTTGTGGGTTTGTGTTTGGGTTTTGGGTTTGTGGGTTTGTGGGTTTGTGGGTTTGTGGGTTTGTGTGTTTGTGTGTTTGTGTGCTTGTGTGCTTGTGTGCTTGTGTGCTTGTGTGCTTGTGTGCTTGTGTGCTTGTGGGTTTGTGGGTTTGTGTGCTTGTGGGTGTGTGGGTTTGTGGGTTTGTGGGTTTGTTTGTTTGTGGGTTTCTGTGTTTGTGTGTTTGTGTGTTTGTGCGCTTGTGTGCTTGTGTGCTTGTGTGCTTGTGTGCTTGTGTGCTTGTGTGCTTGTGTGCTTGTGGGTGTGTGGGTTTGTGGGTTTGTGGATTTGTTTGTTTGTGGGTTTGTGGGTTTGTGGGTTTGTGTGTTTGTGTGTTTGTGCGCTTGTGTGCTTGTGTGCTTGTGTGCTTGTGTGCTTGTGGGTGTGGGTTTGTGGGTTTGTGGGTTTGTTTGTTTGTGGGTTTGTGGGTTTGTGGGTTTGTGGGTTTGTGGGTTTGTGGGTTTGTGGGTTTGTGTGTTTGTGTGTTTGTGTGTTTGTGTGTTTGTGCGCTTGTGTGCTTGTGTGTTTGTGTGCTTGTGTGCTTGTGTGCTTGTGTGCTTGTGTGCTTGTGGGTGTGTGGGTTTGTGTACTTGTGTGCTTGTGTGCTTGTGTGCTTGTGTGCTTGTGTGCTTGTGTGCTTGTGGGTGTGTGGGTTTGTGGGTTTGTGGGTTTGTTTGTTTGCGGGTTTGTGGGTTTGTGGGTTTGTTTATTTGTGGGTTTGTGGGTTTGTGGGTTTGTGTGTTTGTGTGTTTGTGTGCTTGTGCACTTGTGTGCTTGTGTGCTTGTGTGCTTGTGTGCTTGTGGGTGTGTGGGTTTGTGGGTGTGTGGGTTTGTGGGTTTGTGGGTTCGTGGGTTTGTGGGTTTGTGGGTTTGTGGGTTTGTGGGTTTGTTTGTTTGTGGGTTTGTGGGTTTGTGGGTTTGTTTGTTTGTGGGTTTGTGGGTTTGTGGGTTTGTGGGTTTGTGTGTTTGTGTGTTTGTGTGTTTGTGTGTTTGTGCGCTTGTGGGCTTGTGTGCTTGTGTGCTTGTGTGCTTGTGTGCTTGTGTGCTTGTGGGTTTGTGGGTTTGTGGGTTTGTGGGTTTGTGGGTTTGTGGGTTTGTGGGTTTGTGGGTTTGTGGGTTTGTGGGTTTGTGGGTTTGTGTGTTTGTGTGTTTGTGTGTTTGTGCGCTTGTGTGCTTGTGTGCTTGTGTGCTTGTGTGCTTGTGTGCTTGTGTGCTTGTGGGTGTGTGGGTTCGTGGGTTTGTGGGTTTGTTTGTTTGTGGGTTTCTGTGTTTGTGTGTTTGTGTGTTTGTGCGCTTGTGTGCCTGTGTGCTTGTGTGCTTGTGTGCTTGTGTGCTTGTGTGCTTGTGTGCTTGTGTGCTTGTGGGTGTGTGGGTTTGTGGGTTTGTGGGTTTGTTTGTTTGTGGGTTTGTGGGTTTGTGGGTTTGTGTGTTTGTGTGTTTGTGCGCTTGTGTGCTGTGTGCTTGTGTGCTTGTGTGCTTGTGTGCTTGTGTGTGTGTGCTTGTGTGCTTGTGTTTGTTTGTGTTTGTGGGTTTGTGGGTTTGTGTGTTTGTGTGTTTTTGTGTTTGTGTGTGGTTTTGTGTGGGTTTGTGGGTTTGTGGTTTGTTTGTGGGTTTGTGGGTTTGTGGGTTGTGTGGGTTTGTGTGTTTGTGTGTTTGTGTGTTTGTGTGTTTGTGCGCTTGTGTGCTTGTGTGCTTGTGTGCTTGTGTGCTTGTGTGCTTGTGTGCTTGTGGGTGTGTGGGTTTGTGTACTTGTGTGCTTGTGTGCTTGTGTGCTTGTGTGCTTGTGTGCTTGTGTGCTTGTGGGTGTGTGGGTTTGTGGGTTTGTGGGTTTGTTTGTTTGTGGGTTTGTGGGTTTGTGGGTTTGTGGGTTTGTGGGTTTGTGGGTTTGTGCTTGTGTGTACCCCAAGGCCCAGATTTGGGCCAAGAGAGTGAGTTCTGAATCACTACTTGAGTACTCCCTCGATTTCCTGAAAACGGGAGATCTTTCACAGGTCCAGGTGTCCTTTATTTTGCCAAAAACCGCTGAATAAATTGGCAAACCATGAAAGAAACCCAAGCTCAAAACGCCCTAAACAAAGTGGTTGGCGGACATGACATCCTACCTATTAATGTGATGTCCCCAAAGGGTCCTCCATCGAACTCATTCAAATCAAGGGGGTTGTAACTTGGATCCAGCCAGGCGACGAGCATTGACTCCATTTTGTCGGATGACCGGCGCGCAGTGATCCTCAGCTCGGAGACCGGCTCAGGCGCCGGCGGATGTAGATTGCAACCAAGTCACTGCATGCAGTGCAGCCTTGGGTTGCGCGAGGGGTCTCCTTTGCAGTGGCTTTCCAGTAGGAATTATGGAGTATGATTGGCCAACACTCCATTTTGAACAGGCCAGACACCTGCCAGCGCGGACGGGTTGCTATCTCTTGAGGGTAGCAAATTCGCAAAACACCCGCCAGCGTCAACCCGCCTTGGGAGTGGGCGACACCTCAGTTTGGAGTGGGCTTCTTTTTTAGGTTTTGGCTTAGCAGGCAAGCGATAAGCAGGAGACCAGGAAGTGGTTGGCCGACAACGGTGATGCCACATCCAAGTGGCTTATCCGGCTTCTTTGGGTTTGGAACGTGGCTGGTACCCCGCTGGTAAGCTATTGCGGGAAACGGGTCCATACCAAAAGCCTGTCTTCTCCTTTGTGGCGCAACGGATCTTTCGACTTCAAGTTCAAGGATTTCAAGGTTTTGGTTGAAACAGGTGGAATCTTCCATTGGACCCACAAAGAGTGAACAGCTTTTTGCAGAGGGGTTGTTACGAAAACCAAGTCTGCTAGGAATGATTCTTCGAGGCTGACCCTCTGACCGGATGGCTTTTTGATCCGCACCACAGGTCCACAGGTTCGTGCTTACATACTATTCAATGAGCCTTTTGGTGGCTTCCATGTGACACGGCGGGTAGTGTACGGGCAGACATCATCAGAATGGGGTTGTGCGGTACAACAAAACCATGTCAAGTCAGGAACACACGGTGATCAAGGGTGATCATGTGTGTCCCAGAAGCCATTTGCTTAATATGTTTTACACTGGAAGTATGTTCATGTGTTTCTCCGTTACCTGGTCGGTTTTAAAAGGAATCTATCACTACTGAAGATATGTTGTTTTTTTTCCAGGGGACTTGCGCCTTACCCAAATGGGAGTAATGTTGACCCCATATCAATCAACCCCAGTTTGTTGGGGTGTGTTCCCCTCGAAAAGTGATGATTACCCACGAAACCCAGGGACACCCCCCGATAAATCAGCTGGGGTTGGGGTCAACATTGCGCTTCACAGGGGAATGACCTCGGCAGGCAAGACCTTGGCATACTTGGTGCCGGCCTTCGAGCTGATTTTGCGGCGCCCTCCCCGACAGACAGGCGCGGACGGTCCGGAGGGCGACAAAGACTCTGATCCGAAACGGGTTTCAAACGGGTAGGTCAGCCTGGGGGAGACAAATCGTGGCAAAACCTGGTCCAAGAAGTCAGATGCTTGAAAATTCCTCGCCCTTTCCTTGGTTGCGCTGGGAAACCAACGTTAGCGGCCGACCTTTCGGGGTCATTTTGAGGCACATCCTGTGAGACAGCATACCCCTCCGTGGATCCATTTGGTTCCGTGTATGGAACATTTTGTGGTGGAATGCCCAGAATCGGGGTTCCAAGGCTTCGCCGTTTTGGGAAACGTCACTCCTTTGGGTGGTTCCTATCAAGCAGAAAGTTCGCCAGAATCCATCCCGCACTTCAGGGATCCCACAAGCCAGACCCGAAGGGTTCCATATTATACCTGGACCGAGCTTCAAACTGGTAGTTTGAGGGTCCAGGTACTTCCAGTGTTTTTTAAGATCACCCTTTGGCTTGCATTTCAAGTGTGCTTGCTTTTGTGATGATTGGTTGGATATCTAGGCTGTGGCTGATGCGCAAGAACTGAGGGCTTTTACCACTTTTGATATGCGCGACCCTCTGCGCGGATCGGCCTGGAGGATGCCGCCTGCATCGAGCTTTCAGTGAGATAGCTGCATAAAGAAACATGCACAACGCAATTGCGCAGAGACACATGTGGCCAGAGCTTGCTCAGGGAAACTTGCTGCCAAGAACTAGCGCAAACAAACTTGCAAAGAGCAAGCCGCACAGACAGCTTGCGCAGAGAAACTTGCATCTTGATTCTGCGCAGAGATACTTGAGCAGGTAAACTTGATCCGACAACTAGCACATTGAAACTTGCATAGAGCACTTAGGCAGAGAAGTTTGCGTGGAGATCTTACGCAAACCTACGACTCGAAGGCTGCAGCACCTCACACAAGTGTAAACACAGAAACACTTGAAATCAACACTGACTATGTATGTCTTACTTTCGGGCCACCCTCGGCTTTCTGTTTTTTGTTTTTTTTGTATACGGGAACCCCGAAAGCCGCGCGGAGCGCCCGCGCGAACTCGCTGGCGCTCGAGCTCGTTCCAGGGGCGTCGAACCCGGAAGTGCTGATCATGGTGCCGAGCCTGGAGCTGGCGGTGCAGGTCTCGCTGGTGGCCCAACAGCTCGCGCAGGCGAGCGAGATGTGAAACGAAGTTTTTGGGGAGCGGATCGGCAGGGAAGGAGGTTGTCCGAGTTTCCGGGTGTTGGGCAGGAATGAAAACGAAGGGGATTCACGAAGAAAGGAAGCCACCAGTTGGATGTTTTTTAGGGGTTCCAGGTGTTGATTGCAGGAAGAAAATTCCGAGTTTTGGGGGTGACCCAAAAAAGGGAAGCCACCAGTTGGATGGTTTTGCTCGGGGTCATTCCCTGCTCAGCGGCAAGTTTTGGGCCAAAGCGAAGCTCATTTTGGGTCTGGGGTTTTGGGGAACCTTTTGGGCGTCATGGGGTTCATGTCCACCAACTACTTAGTGGGTGCCCCTCTTGAAATGTTGAGGACATGTGATTCTGATCAACGGAAGCCGCAACCAACGGGTTAGTTTGCTCAATTTGCTGTAGTTGGGTAAGTTAGTAAGGGGATGACCAAACGTGAGGGAATTGTGGCATCTACTTTCACTCAACTGTCGTTGTTTCTGGGCCACTGTGTGAATGGTTGGTAGCGTTTTTGCCAAAAAACGTGAACCAAAGAAGTCAATCCTCGGTTCGGGGCCGCGGGACGAAGGGCCGGTAAGGATGAGCAGGAGCCCCATGGCTCCCCTTGCGCTCGTTGGCTCACGGGGCCACTCCAAAGCCAGCACTAAACCCAACCTTAAGACCACCTGAAGCCTCAACCCACCCAACAAGTGACAGAACCGAGTTGCGCTAAAATATGGCCAAGGTACGGAAGTTGCTAAGTTCCGCAAATCCCGATGCCAACTTATAAGACTTGCACTGACTTCCCCCACCCTACGACAGGATGAGTGGAATGTTGTAACACAACCTGGGCTTACTAGCGCTAACTAGAAGGGTAGAAGTAAGGGCGCAGACTCCACCCTGCGAGTCTAAGGTCTGAACAACACATGCTGTGGATGGACAAAATCCGCTTCGCACCAGTTGGGATGGATGTCGATACTGCGATCAATCACCATAGTCAACCTGTGGCGGGAGAATGGGGACCCGCTCGACTGGTACACTGGGTGTGGTCCATGGCCTATTGCGACGTGTTACGTGACAAACGCAACTTCTTGTGGTAGTTGACCTTAAAGGGAAGACCCCCTCCAGCAAAATGGGTGATGCAAAAGGGGTCGAACCAGAATCCGTGGTAAAGAAAGAAGCAAGCGGATGCCACCAATTTCCAGCCACCATCCCCCCTGCATCTACCCAGGTCTTGACTGTGGCTCAACTGATGCTAAATGCCACCGGCCCAAAGGGATTGATTTGTATCCACTGCCGTTTGGATTCCTTTGCCATGGAAATCTACATGGCAGTGTGTGAAGTCTGGTTTTGACGGTGACTCCTTTGATCCAAGCCATCCAAGCGTCAAGAGGCCATCCAGACGAGTCGTACCATCACGGTGCGGCATGCTCGCCGCAACTGGCCAGAGAAGGCTCGGAGACGCACGTCTTGCTGGGCAACTTCATAAGGGTTGTCTAGGTTCCCCAGTAGTGCCCTTTTACCCTTTTTTGGGGGAGGGTTCCCCTACTAAAGTAGACTACAGAAAAAAGGGTACCCTTATCGTAACCTCTCTACTGGCGGAGCTAGGTGTGCACATGTGTGTGTGCGTGTGCGAAGCTCGGTAACACAGTAGGGCGGAAAAACCGGCCAGTTGGGTTTTTCACAGTGCGAGTGCTTTTTGAGGGCGGTTGCAGTAAAGGGCAACAAACAGTACAACCTCCAGTTTGGGGGGGGGGGGCCCTCCTCTTTGCACTCCCCTGCAAGTGATGAACCAGGAACCCAATAAAAGGGTGAATTTGAGAGATGCCTCGAAGTGTGCTGATTTTTCCGGTTCCACGAGCATTTCGCTGGCTCGACAGAATCTGAACATCTTGTTGTTTGTGTACGCCAAAGTACAAGACTTTGGGGTCCCCTTCAAACCCTCGGCTGTCCCCAGTGGATCCGTTGGAGCAGCTGGATATGAACAAGAAGTTGCGACCATGTTCTGGAATGCCACGAGATACTTTACTTGGGTATGGGTCAAAATTAAACCACCAGGGGACCGCAGGTTTTGGTAAATGGAAACATTCCGACTGCGCTGGGCCTAAAGTCAGACGAAGCAGTGGATGTAAAGCGTTGCGTTGACCCCCAATCAATAGCAGCCTTAGCTCCTGCTCTTGCGCAGACATCATGTACCCTAAGATCCAACTACATTGGCTGATAGCACGGCCCAGTCCAAAGATTTTACATCTTCCTCCTGAGCCTTGTGGATCAGAGACAGGGTTTCAATAGCTGTTGCCCACAGCTCCGGCCGCGCAATTTCCAGCGTCCTTGCATAGCCTCTTGGTTTGGCCGCTGAAAATTTTGGACAATCCACTCGGAGCACCCGCCCATTTGAATTCGCTCGCGAACTCCTGCCAAGTGCAGCGAGCTCATCTCTTTAGCTCCGGCCTTCGGGCGGGGAAATGCCTTGCCACCTGTTCACATGGCTTTGTCGCAGCGGCTCTGTCGAACTCGGCTCTCTGAGAGCTAGCATGGCACCGGGTGGCTGGGTCAGATCTCACCGAGCCGGGGGTAAAATGAGAATGATGGAACTTTCTCACCTCAGGATTCCTGCGTCCAGCTTATGAATCAGTGGATATCCTGCTGCGATGGTAAATTTGAACCGCACGCCGCTGTTCCATTCGGTGAACAGTAAAACAACTGGTGTATGAATTTGTCAGATCTAGGTAGGATTCCTTATGAGTGTACTTGAATAGGAGCCAAGAACAAATCATGCATCGGGGGCCACTAGTTAACCCCCCAAAGTGCGGATCTCAGCATCCAGGTCCCGGACATCTTGGTGTGCACACCTCGAGCAGGAGCTCAGGCGCGATCAAAAAAAGAGGGGCATTTCAGCTCTGAGCATGTGCCAGAAAATCGGGGACCCAACATCGGCTTCCCTTTGACCCCCCCCTCGCACAAGAAAGGGCACCCCACCTGGATGTCCTGGGGAAGAAGTGTTGTAACTATGCGGCTTTGGTGGGCAACATTATAAGGGGACTTATGTCCACCTACCACGTTTGAGCTTCGCCAACCCCCCCTTGTAGCCTTCTCCAACCAAGCCTCCCTCCCATACTAGGGCTTCCTTAACCAGGGCAACTGCACATTTTGACTGATCAAATGAGGTCCGGTACAACCCCCGATGGCACAGCTGATTTATGGAACCGCACGACCTTGTGCCTTTTAGATATCTTCCATGGCATTTTCTAATGGACCTAAGCTTGCGGCTTGCCGCTCGCCTTCAATGAACTTCAACGGGGAAGTGAAAAAGAGAGAGAGAGGGAGAGAGAGAGAGAGAGAGAGCGAGAGAGAGCGAGAGAGAGATAGAGAGCGAGAGAGAGATCCTAAGACCACTTTTCACTCCCTTTGAGCAGAAAACATGCGAAGCGCCCTCTTTTTTTAGGATGCCTCAACGAGTATAGTTTGGCTCCTGAAGCCAGCTTTGTCAGCTGATTTGAGGGGTTTCCCTGTGAAGGTTGTTTCCTCTCACATGGAGATCCCTAACACCCCCTCCAATGCATGGCTCCCTTCCCGAGTTTTGGGAAGACCATGTTGGTGGCAAACAAAAGGTCCGCAGAGTTTGTGACAACATGGGGGAAAGGGGAGGGTTCTTGAAGAACAGTAGACGGAGACATACTCGAACTTGCTCCAAAATGCGCAATCAGGCACAATCCTCTATTTTCAGTGAGGCCCCCCCCATGGTCTTTCAGGAGTATTGTGTTTTGCAGGAGGAAGTGAGTTGGAAAACATGGTCCTGTCTACTGCGTCCAGGATTCTCCTCACTCACCGCTCGCGACTCTCGCAGGGCCTCGCGCCGGCGCAGAGTGCGGACGAGATGACCCGGAAGCAAGCGCTGAAGCGAATCCAAGGCACCGAGGCGACTCCGCGACTTCGGTTCCATTTGTCGGGGCAAAATCAGCTCACCGATCCGGGGAAAACGAGCCAAAGCCATGACTAAGGTCCTTTACTGGTGGATTTTCTTGATTCAGCTCAGGCATTCATGAAGTGGTGGTTTGGGGATTTGAACTCCGGTTGTAGAGGGTAAATGGGAAACCGAAAAGCCACCGATCCAAACCAGCAATTGTTTGGTATCATTTTCCATCAGTGCCCTCTACTAATTACTCAAGTCATAGAACATGTCACCAAGGCTCGGTCCAAAATTGGGGTCCATTTGGGGTTCTGGACTCGAAACCCCGCTGGCCCGAAACGGGGTCAGACCTCTGTGTTTCCCTCTGGCGGCGATTTCCAACTACCAAGGAGGTTTCCTACCACATAAGCAACGACCACAAGAGGTCTTGTACCACTAAACAAACTACCACCGTGTTGATTGTGATGCACGTATGTATGCCCTGGACCTTCATTCGAATCTTCCGCTGCGCTTGGAAATGACCTGAGCCTTGAAAAGGGTTGGGTGGCCTACATTTGAACTGTATGCCTTTGTAGGCGTCTTTGTACCAAAGCTTTGTCAAGGGGTCGAATTATGTTCGTTGTTTGTCTAGTCAACCATGCTTGGATGTTCAACATAGTAGGTAAAATCCAAGGAGGTGTTTCTTGGACAACAGACAACCGGGATTGGTTATCTTGCAACCATGGTAGAAATTCCTCCTTGCCATAGGTTGAACATCCGGGGTCAACAAACTTGAAGTTTCCTTAGGGGATTGTTTGGTGGGAATGAACCCAGGAAAGAATTGTTCCAGGGTTTCAGGAGTTCTGCCCCATTTAGCAGCAGAGCCCTGAGTTGTTTGTTGTTTCCCTCACCCAGCCCGCCAAGCCTAGGAAAAAGCATCTCCGCCCACCAGGGAAACCCATCTTCACCTACTGTGGATGGACGAAATCCATTTCGCACCAGCTAACAAACCCTGGTTTCTGATTCCCCTGCCTGTAAACTCCAACCAATGGTTTCAACCATGGGTTTCCCTTGGTGCGATGTCTGGATTTCGCCTTTCTATCCACAGATTGGGCTTCCCCTCAGATTTTGTTTTTTCGCTGTCAGCTCATGGTCCTCGACGAAGCCGACTTGCTGCTGGACCACGGCAGTCAGAGCACCGACGTCCAGGCGCCTGCGGGGAGCACGGCGGGGGGGGGGGGATGGGGATGGGGTCCCTATATTTGTCCCTTTTTGGTGGTTTTAAACACCTTTTGGCCCATGAAAGGTGAGTGTCCCTTGGTAAAAGTAGGGAAAATATCAGGGACATATAGGGAGACCTGTAGGGTCCAGCAAGATGAGGCTCCTTTCAATGCGCTTCACCAAAAATGATGGAAGGAGAATATTTTGAAGTGCTGGGTTTGGGATTGAACGTTAACCAAGTTGTTTTACGCATGAGCTATGGCCTATATTATATTATATATATATATATGTACGTATGCATATTCGCCGCGGTATACTGTGACTTTTTTGGCATGACAGGACATGGGGCACCCTCGCCAACATATCATGAAAGGGTGGGTGGGTGGGGCGGGTTGTTCACCAAAATACACTGACAAAACGAGCATCACCTTTTGGGCCAAGTAAATTTGGGTTGGCTTTTGGCGAGGTGATGGAGAATGGTTTTTGACTGTTGCCCGTTGAAGAGGGGCTGTGAACTGTTTGGGTGAGCATCAATTTTCCCCAAAAAAGACGGCGCGATAGACGACCAAACCGTTGGCTGGTCCAGCTTTCAAGACCAAGCTTTTAAATCCACGAGCTTCCGTTGACATACTGCCATGTCTAGCTTTTAATTGGCGGGGCTTGCCCCTACCCTCGGTTTGTGCAGGGGCTCCATTCCCGGACAAGCTCAGGACAAGCAAAAGCAAGAAGGGGCGGTGAGAAGGGTGATTGATGTTTCGCCATGTTCACCCTCCATACGCCTTTCAGACGTCCCGAGAGGACAACCGATGATTTCAACGCCGATGAAATCGGCTTTGGGATGGCCTTGGGCACAGATGCGTCCATTGTCTTAGCTAAGTATATGTATGATTGTCCCCTGTCGGTTTTTATTCAGAATCTATCACTGCTGTTTTTTTTGTTTTTGCTTTTTTTCTTCCAGGCGGCGTATCCGCAAACGGAAGGATGTGGCATGAGTTCCAGTGCAGCGAGGGTCTTTTTGGGATTTCACTTGTGTGAAAGCGAACGTTTGCATGCTAAAGAGTTCACATGAAACTTTGGCTACCTGGAGTCTCCATGACCCCTTAAAAGATGGGTCCACAACTCCTTTGTTTTGGGTTATGACCCTATTTGAGGGTCATGACTCCAGGTACTCATACATTGCCAGCTGGGCGTAGATCAATCAATGTTCCAGAGAGAAACCTGGCTCGAGAGTGGTGCATCCAAGGACTGAACTCCCTAAATTTGGAGACTCTAAGTGGGGTGAAGCAAGCACCAAAGGACAATATAGTGTGTAGCAGCCAAAAGAAACCTTGCGTTGGAAACCATTTAGGGTCACTTAACTAGAGAACCCCATGGCTGCTTTCCTTGATTTGCATGGGGTGGACTGGGTGCAGTTGAAGGAAGAGTGCCATCTCACACATTGGTGGCTTGTCTTTTTTGGGGAAACCCCTTTTGGTTGGTGCAAGGAGAAACCATGGCGACTCTTGTGTTACCCCTTCTGGTTGGCAAAAGGGAAACCATGAGTTGGAACTCATCACCTTGGCGAGGTGCCCGCACAGAAATTTTATGCGAGGGACCCTCGTTCATGGTCAGACCGTGCTCACTGCCCTAGCTGCGCGCGGAAGCTCGGGACGACTTGTTTCAAAGGGCATGGAGGCGAAGCTGGGCTTAGGTTGATCCAAGTTTCAATGGGGGCCTCTAGGGGAACCCCGAAATCGCTTCGGCTGTCCTCTTGGTTTCCGCCAAGTGTTGAAAGCCACGCCCCCGAATGGAATTTTGACAGTTTTTACAGGGCCTTTTTCAGCCAAGGCGAGTCCCCTTCTGGTTTCCTCTGAAGGCCATTTGCAGGGTCCTCGGATCCCGTCTTGGAATTCTGGGATCGCCGCCCCCTTCGGGTTTCTACCTAAGACTAAGGCTCCAAGAGGATCTCGGCTTGAGCCCTTCCGCAGGGATCACTTGTTTCAGGGCGCAGTTTTCACCGGAAGCTGCTTCAATGGTGTCTGAGTTCGAAGTGGGAACACACGATGTCAGAACAGTGAAAACCCTTAGTTCGGGTTGGAAGCTTTCATGAGGGAAGCAAAAACAGCACTCCGCAACTTGATCGCGCCGGCCTAGTCCAAAGAATATTCTCTCCTGTGAGTTCTTAGTTCTTAACTTAGTCCGATGTCCAAGTTTCCTGACCTGGTCTCTCAGGCAGGCTCAAGGCTCGGAGTGGCCTGCACCAGTTTCAGATGAAATATCCTAGATGGGTGGCTCGTCTTTTCGTTCGGGCCTGCCCAAAATGGCTTTGGTTTTCCTTTTGGTGTTCCGTTTACAACCACCAAAGATGGGTTCCCTCCAAAACAGGCACGCCTTTGTGGCAAGCCAATTGTCTTGTAAGTAGGCAACCCCCTGGAAATGGTCCAAGCGGCCGATGGGAGGTTCCCACAAACGCTCTGTGGGCATACTAGCGTCCCACAAGGTGATCACCTTTAAAAAAAGAGACCGGGTGTTGGTGGGGATGTGATTTTAACATGACAAATGCTACACAACACCGTTGTTTTCTGGCAAAACAGGGCTGATAACTAGGTAAATACGAGTTTTTGTCATGCGCATGCATTCTTCTGGAGTATGCACCACCTTTAACTGTTATATTTCCAGGTCCCTTGGGCTGAGTTGCGGACCTCCAGTCGTTTGTCGCCCAGCTCGCGCGTCTTGACGAGCCAGTGCGTTTTGCCCGGTCATTTGTTTACCGACTGTAGCTCCTTCATTTTGTTTCGACCCTTGTTGTTTTTTTCTTTGGGAAACCAAACGGAAAACCGAAGCCGTGTGGATCCTCAAGCCAGCGAAAAAGAATCAGGGGCTCAGTCTGAGCTCCTTGCTTCGGGGGGACATGTTCCAATCAAGGGCTTTGGTTTTAGGACAGGCGTTCGCCCGTAAAAAAATGATATGAAACACTGAACTTCAGTTGTCCTGCAACCCAAACCCTGTGAAACCAATTCCCTTGCTCTTTTGCTGGTCTTCAACCTTTTAGTACGTTGGAACATGAGGTCGTTTTGAGCAGCGTTTCATTTTTTTTTATCAGACTTCCTGGAAAAATGACCCTGCGAGAAAGACAATTCATATACAGGTTCCGTCCAAAAAACGTGGCCATACTGTTTCCCACGTTGACCCAATTCCTGAAAAGAAAGATTGTCGCTTTCCTTTGAGCCGGCCCAATGGCGTGTCTGGATCTGGAGATTTCTGGAGTGGATGGCTCAATTCTGTGCCTCAGAGCCTTGGCGAAGAAATTTGTTTTCGCCTCGGATGTGTCACGAACAACGAAAAACAAGCGCCTTTTTAGCGCGTGAGGTGGTTGGTCAGTTGCAGTGGATCCTCCTCAGGTCGCCTGAATTGGAAGGAGGTCCAGTAATTTACTTCCATTTAGAATATGCTTCCCCCCCTGTTGGTTTTAGAAGGAAACTACCAATGCTGAAAATTGTGTATTGTTTTTCCAGGAGACTTAAGGAAATGAAGGTTTACAGTGCTTGGGGTACTTGAAATGTGAGGGGTGCATTAGTGTCGTGGCGCTTGCCTCACTCGGTTCACTGTAGCTCTATTATGGTCATCAACTTGTTGGAAAAATGGGACAGACGAACCTCCATTTGCTTAAGAATCGGCTTGTTGTTCCGCTGGTCGGCTTTAAAGGGATTGTTTTTTCACGACTGGACATAGTTGTATTCTGTTCCGGGCCGGGGGGCAGAGAGACCCCCCGATACTTCGCCAAACTGGGTATATTGGACCGCAGGCTTTAGTCCTTTCCATGTACCAGGGCTCCATTTTGGGGTACCTAGTCTCAATCCACGGCCGAAAGATTGCCAGTTTAGGCTCTCACTATAGCACCTTGGGAACTTGGCACCTCTGGAACACCAAGGAGTCTGTTCCACGCTAGTGGGATACTAGAGTGAGTGTCAGGCCCTTGGTCAAGACACTCCTTTGTCTGGTCAGCATGGACCCCCTGATGTTAGACAGCCAGGATTCCTTGTCGGGGAACCATGGCCCACGGTGTCTGCAAACCGAACCCGGAAAGGTCGGGTGAGCTCAGGACCCGAGAGAGCAGCCACATGGCGCACGTTGGTGGGTTATTTTTACCACATGGGGAGCCATGACCATAGGGCACGTGGCTCAATTTTTTGGAGGAGACCTTAAAGGCGAACCGAAAGCGACAAGCAAAGCCATTTTGTCAATCCCCCGCAAAGACAGACCCAGAGGTTGATTAACGTTCCTAACCCCCAAACTGACCATGGATAACTTTTGCCATGTGGTGAAAGGCATTTTTTTTCAGGCGAATTCCCAATTTTTTCGCTCAGTGTAAAGCGTTTTGACCATGGCTGAGGTGTGCCGGAGACGCTCTTCGGCAGCGAGTTGCTGCGGATGGTCCGCAATCAGCGGCCCAAGCGAGGGGCAGGGCTCTCCTTGCGCCCTGGTCGAATCGAAGGAAGCGACGCTCCGTGGAGAAGCGCCACGTTCCATTTGTTCCTCTTTTTTTTTTCCGGGAAGCCCCCCAAAAACATATGTTGTCCTTTTGGCTTCCCCTTAACACCAACCAAACTCCCCTCACAAACATGGAGACAACAACCCCCCAAAACATATATTTGCTGGTTTCCTTTTGGTTTCGTCTTAAAACCAACCCACAGACGCATTTACTTCCCTGACAAACATGGAACCAAGAAAGACCATCTTGCAGGAATATCCTCGATTCCTTTTTGGGTTCCATGTTAATCTGCAGGCAGGTTCCCCAACAAAGAGACTTCCTATGGAATCCAAAAACGGTTCATTCACAACACCCTGGTCATTCCTTACTTATCTCACCAGCAAGAAAATTATGGGACCCTTTCTAGAATCGCTTTTTGAAGACACCAGAAGGTGCAGCAGGGTCTAAAGTTGGGCCTTCTTGACACACACACACACACGCACGCCAGCTGCAGCTGGTAGTGGTTTTTCCCCTGTGAAATGTGGTGATTTGCTGCACAGCTTAAGATTCGGGGTTATCCAAGAAGCTGCTTCTTTGTCTCATTACAAATGTTCCACAAACACCTACCAACCTTTTGCTCTGCTCTGTGTCCACTACGGGAGCACGCTTATTGACTGCAGCTCATGTCTCTGCACGCCTTGAGCGTTCCAGGATTTCGTTGCTTGCCACGAAAAGCTTTCAGCTTAAGGGTCCGAACATGGGTCAAACGTGAAACCCGTGCATTGAGTCGTTTAGTGCCCCCTGCTCATTGGTCAAGCTCACTCTGTCGCATGTGAATCTTGCAAAGGTCAACAATGTGGGCGCTAGTGGCGGTGGCCAAAATGAGCGCAAATGGGAGATCCACAGCAAAACAAATAAGAACACCTAGGTCCTCCAGTAGAGAGGTTAGAATAAGGGTACCAACTTTGTTCTGTATTCTATTTTGGTAGGGGAACCCTCCCCCAAAAAAGGTTAAAAGGGCACTACTGGGGGAACTAGACACATATGTCGGCTTACCGCTTTACTCAACAGATGGTGCCCATCCCTAGAATATTGTAAGAACTCAGCAAACATGTTTAGCTTCCTTTGGGTGTCCGTTGGTAAACTCAACATCCCAACGGGGTCCATTCTCCTTGAGTTCCCGGTGACTTAGCAATCGAGGCTCTGGCAGGACTTGCCGCTTGCGCTGGAGAAGACGCTACAGGACGCGAGTTCCAAATCGAGCGGAAGTCTGAGCTTTTTCTAGGGGCATCTTCCCCATTCTTTCCAGGGATCCTTCTTTTCAGGAAACCATCAACCACGCAGGGGAAACAGCCGGCTTTTGCAAAGAACGATGGTTGCAAAGAATGGGGAATCAAGCCCTAGACTTGTGGTTGTCCCGGTTTTGTCCAATTTTAATGGCAAGGTGATCCGGTTTTTTGTCATTTTCCCTTTTGGCTGGCAAGGTGATCACCTTTTATGTTCAGGTCCTGAAGGGGCCACCGAGTCTTTCCCGAAGTTGCTTTTTTCCGCGCGGTTTGGCCCAAATCTCGTGAAAAGGGCGAAAGGTGAACTTTTGTCTCTTGTAATTTCTGGGTGCTAAGGGGCAACGAAGCAACGGGGTTCCATTGGAGGACCAAGGCCAGACACCAAGTTCGAAGTCCCGGTTGTTGGAAACATAGCGAGTTGGGGCAGCCCTCAATTTCTCACTCGGATCGCCGGCGATCTGTGTCCCCCGAAGCAAGGTGTTTCAAAGGGCACAGGCACAAGCAGTCGACAAGGGAGGTGTCAAAGAGGGGTAAGCGCTTCCTTGAGGCAGATCATTGATCTTTGCAGCTTCACATGTTTGTCTTGACCTCGTGGCCCATGTTGCAAGTGAAAAGGGCACGAATAACGCAACAGCCCACGAACATGTTCAATCGAGTATTCATTCGCGAGGATTTCTTGGGCATTGGCAATCATTTGACCCTTTGTTCGAAGAGAGTCCAGGGTTCGCCAACCGCCTTGCTCATTGCAAACCACGTGCAAACCACGTGCCACTCGGGCTGCAGCAACCATTTGGTTTGCCTTTCCAGGGACGCTGGTTGCTGAAGCATTTGTTGCAAGCTCCACCAAGCTTGTTTGAGGGTGTTCACAGGAAAGACAGGCAGAAATGGTTGCTCTTTATCTAAAATGGTTTCCAGTACCCCCAAACCACTACCTCCAGGGGTGCATTGGGAGTTACGGACACTGTATAGGCCTATACCCCTTGAAACCCTTGGGGCTAGCTTTGGTTTGGGGGTGGAACGCATAGACTTTAGGAGCAAGGCCTGCACACGTGCCCGAGCCTCTCCTTCATCTTCACGAGGACCAACTTGCTTCTTGGCACAGCATCAAGTTGGGCATATCGAGCTTACTGCTCCGGTGGAGTACAACCAGCCAAAAGCCGCGATGTGGGTCCTGTTGCTGTGTGATCCCTTATCTTCGTCTTGTGAATTGCAGCAGTCGGAGATCAAACGGGACAACAATGCGCCCTCAATACAACTCGGAGTGTTGAAGAGCATCGTGATTCCTGAAATAGGGGCGTTTCTTTTCGGCATCACAGGCCCTCCCCAATCTTAACACTCCCTCATGTTTGTTTTACTGGCTTTATGGTGCCAAGAAAGGGCATGATCACCCTCATAATATCCCTCCTTCCCAAGGGTCGGAACCACCGGCTCTCCCAGCGCATCTCTGCGGATTCCATTTTTCCTGATGGACACCATGAAGCTCTGGGTGGGTGTGTTTGTTTTGAGGATACCTGTTTTGTTGTGTCGCTTTACAGGGAAGCTGGACGAAAACACGATGCCATTTTGTGGGAGGTCCTCTGCCAAAAGATCTTCGGTCGCAGGGTCGCGGGCCACTGCACTTTCTGGGATTCATGTCCACCTTTGCCGGTGGTTCCAATCGCAGCTTGGTACCTGGACCCAGCCTCGAACTCTTAAAGAATGGGGGGCCATTTCAATGTTAAAGGGTAAACTTGAGGCGCAGGTGGCGAGTTTGGGGACGGCAATTCGCACCCCTGAAATCCCCCGCCCCCCCAAATCTCAGCACCTTGAGGTGTCGCGCCTGGAAAGCGCTGTTGCGCAACAAGGACCACGAGGAGGCGTTGCAGGGGACGCTAAGCACAAGAAATGTCCCAGACACCCAGCGGGGTTCCCTTTTTCAATTGGAACCACCGGAGATGTATCCCCCGCATGTGATGTCCACCAAAGCGGCCCTCGTTAAATTCAGGCAAACAAACAAAGGGTGCACTGGGCAACTGAGAAGTGGCATTTTGATGGGTTTGAGAACAATTTTTTGGGGCTGGTTTCCGAATTTCCCTTTGAACCACCACTCATAGGATAATTTCTACGTTCCCTTTCAAGTTTGGCTTCCCAGCCCCAAACCGGAGCCTTGTAAATGGCAGTAGTTTGTCCACTCCATTGGGGGTCAGAGCCAAACGAGGCGCTGGAAACAAGCTCTTGGGACCAGACAGCCAGTCAGCACAAGGGACCCAGTTTCAGTCCCTCATCAGGGTGTTTCCCAAAAAGAAACCGAGAAACGTATTTTGTAAGGTGTCAATTTGGTCTTTTGTGGAGCAACCACCCAAAAAAGATAGAGTGTTGCCGGACCTGATTTATCTCTATGGTAGATTCATGTGGACAATTGTTGGTAGGCCATTTGCCACTTGGGTATCACGAGAGTTGTGTTCCACACGCTGACTCCTGCAAGAAGTGGTCCGTGCTGGAATTTGTGCGACCCTTTTTCTGCTTTGGCCTTCAAAGGGTATCAACAAAAGACCCGTCATTTTCCAGGGTCCACAATTTTGCACACCCAAATCTAATTTACACATTGAGGGCATGTGGGAAAACCGCGTTGAAGTCCAAGAAAGTTGCCACAATTCCCGATGAGAACTCTTAAGATTTAGATGTTTTGGTGCACAGATTGAAAACCAAACCTGTCCATTTAGACAAGGTCGCCTCCTGGCTGGTGATGCTTCAACGTGTTTGTGGCAAGAGTGACTAAACCCGACTGCGTTGTTTTTTTCTAGCTCTTTCCGGGCAGATCTATCTAGTTTGTAGTCAACATTGTTGAATAGGATTCGTGCGGTGCGCCATTTTGGGGTGTGGTGAATTTGGTAAGCCAGTTGTCGCACAGTCAGCTGAGCAAGTGAGCGCCCCAATTCCTCAGGCATGCTCAACAGGCTTCTTGCCCTTGAATGGGACTATAGGTTCCCTTCAACCATACTTAATCATTCCTCCCTTGCAGATCATATGGAAACCCAACCTCTCACCCCCTTTTTGAGAAATGGCCTTTTGGCTTACCCCTGTTTTTGGAGTTCCTTCCCTTGGAATTGCCGGGGGTGTGGATGAGCCGTTCCTGGATACGCCAAAGAGCCGCTGAGGATACACAGCATGAGCTACAACGGCCAGAAGCAGGAGCTTTGGTTCCCCAGCAGCCTGGAATCGCTGAGCTTTGGCCCTGACTTCAACCAGAGGACCACCAGCCTCAGGCGACTTTGGAGAGGATCTATCCCGGATCTGTAAAAGCGCGATGTGAAGAATTTCTGGAATTCCAGGCCAATTTCGCGGTGTTTTTCCTCAGAAGACCTACTTTTGGTTCTTGGAAGGAATCCCTGGAAGGCCATTTCGTGTTTTGTTTTTTCCCTTTGTCCTGGGAAGACCTTCTGGCACTTGTTCTTGTGGCCAGACCTTCATGTCCTCCATGGGCTTTTGGTTCGTCGGATCAGTGGCCAGTCCGCCATCTCATTCCCGCAGGGTTTGTTTTCGCGGGTCCTGCTGGAATATGTCCACCCATCATCCCCCCCCCCCCCCGCCAAGCTTGGTGAGGGTTACACAGAGAAAGTGTTTCAAATAGGGGACCCCCCCAAAAAAAAACTCCGTTTGAACCCCCCAACAACTCCGTGTCCTTGTGGTTTCCCGTTAAACCAGCCCCCGAAAGGGTACCCTTTGCCTCAAAAAGCACTGAGCTGGACGATCAGCCTGAGGTTCGCAGGTGGCCTAAAGGACCTGAGCTTCGGCACTGCTTTCAACATGCCTCTGGAAAATATCCCGCCTCAGCTGCAGAGCCTCAGCCTTGGCTTTCGCAGCCCGGATGCGAACATCAAGGGTAGCAGCCCGTGGCTGGTGGTGCTTGAAATTATTTGGTTCGTTGGTTGGTTGGTTGGTTGGTTGGTTGGTTGGTTCGTTGGTTCGTTGTTTCGGCGGTTCGTTGGTTGGTTGGTTCGTTGGTTTGTTTATTCGTTGGTATGACCTATTTGTCGCTTGGTTGGTTGGTTGGTTGATGTATTTGTCGCTTGATTGGTTGGTTGATCTTGTTGTTGCTTGGTTGCTGGCTTGCTCGATTGCTTGTTTGCTTGCTTGCCTGCTTGCCTGCTTGCCTGCCTGCTTGCTTGACTAAGTACTTTCTTCGTTGTATGTATGTATACACGTGTTGGTTTGTAGGAGTATTTTGTTGTGCTTGTCTCGTTGGTTTTGATTTGTCGCGTTTGTTTCTGAAAGAGAGCGAGAGAGAGAGGGAGAGCGAGGGCACATGGGAAATCACTCCTTCACCAAACCACTTTGCTCCAAACCACCAAGCAGAGTGAAGCAAATTCACCGGCGAGGTTTCAACCAGCCTTTGCAGTGCGTCTCATTGTTGCAGCTGGAGAGCCTCAGTCTTGGTCATGCGCCTTGGCATCGCCAGTGCTTGGATGTTCGACTGACTTAGGTTTTTTTTTCGGGTTCTCGGTAGGGAATGAGTTGGAACGACCCGGAGAAAAACCAAACCCCCACTGTCCACCATTTTAAGCTCAGTCCCGTAGGGAACGCTGCGGAGACTGCAAGGGAACCCTTCCAGGCTCTCTCCATTCCTTGGCGGACATAGCTTCCTATGCAACTGATGTCCACCAAAGGTTGTGTGGCGGTGGCGTGCTGTGACCATTGGTATTTTTGTTCCTTGCCGGGGCCTTCCTCAGCTTCCCGCCCTCCACCCGCCCTCCACCCGGCACTCTCGCCTGGGCTCCGCTTTGATCCGGCTTGGCCTTGTCCCCGGGGCTCTCACTCGGTGTGTGTCTTTGTCCGTTCTGTGCTTCTCCTTCCTCCCTAAAAGCTCGCTAACATGCGCTCCAGTTGCATATGCCACCTGCGCGGCACCTTTGAAGATGCCCAGTGGTTTGTCGCGTAATTGGTCCAGACGTGGTTCTTCCTCACAGTGCCCACACTTGGACTCGAGTGTCAAAGGTATCATTTGGCAGCCGCTCAAGCCGCTGCACCGGTTTGGCCGTTCAAAGTTGTTCACCGGTTTGCCGGTGTGGCCGGTCTATATCAGCTCTTAAGTCAGAAAGGAATTTCGGTTTCCTGGGATTTTGCATTTGCAACTTGGCTGTTTATGGGGGGCATTACTTGCGAACCGGGGAAATCAAGGGCATACTAGAATTTCCCTAGCTTCCCTGGTGCGCAAATGGAGACCTGCAGGACCCATTGATACACAAATATTTGCTCATATTTGCTCGAGCTTTCGTGGCAAACAAGTGCGCGAGTAATGCTACTTGCAAACACGTGCAAACGGCAGAGCTGTGGCTTTGCACACTCTTTGGATTTGCGCCAGAGTTGCGGAGAAATGTGCCCGAGTAGCAAGAAATTGTCCTCGAGTTGCTGGTTTGTTTTCTCTCACATAGGAAAACTCAAAAAGTGCTCGAATTGGATTTGAGCAGCAAAAAGAACGCTCAAATGCCAAAGAGCTGTCCGGAGCCCTTGTTGTGTATCAAAGGGTCCTCCAGGAAATGGATAATTAGCTATGGCGTCCCTATTTCCAATTCAGGCTGGACAGGAAAATGCGATTTACCCTTGTTGTCCACTAAAATGGAACCCACCAGAGGCTCGGTTTCTCCGGAGAAAAATCGTCTTCCAGGGCTCCCGAAACGCAACAAAATGGGTCCATGGAGGGTTCCACTCGCAGGACTTCAACCAGAGCTTGGCGGGCCTCGTGCTGCCTAAGTTGAAGCTTGGCTCGATGTGACCAGCCCGATGGTTTCAGCAGTGCCGTCTGGATGCCGCCATTTTGGAGGTGTTCAGGTTGATCCAGGAGCCAGAAAAGATAAAGAGCTGTAATTGAGGGGCTAGAGTTCTCTGAGGATCCTGATAAATCATGGTGTGAAAGCTTTTAAAGCACCCCACAGCTCCATTCCAATTATTTGAGCCCTTATAATGGCAAAAATAAGGGCCCGGGATTAACCCTACCTAGTTGCAAGTTGCGTTTTAAACAGAGCCTCTTGTTCGATTGAAAGAGGTCTAGAAGTAGGTAGAAAGAGTAGTGCTTGGAACATGTGAGGACAACATGTTGGCCAACCCTGGCTTAAACCTTTCACTTGTGTGAGCAGTAGCCTCTCTCCAACCACTCAGCAACCAGAATATTTGTAGCAGTTGTTGTTTTGTTGTTTGTTTTGCTGTTTGTTGTTTGTTTCCTCTTTTTTGTGTTTGGGGGGGGGGGAGTAAAGCTGTTTCATGGTCCCTGGTGCCACGTGCAATTCGACAATCGTTTGACACTCTTGGGAGGGCTGTGAGTTTGACATACGTTAAAAAGACTCGGACTTGGAGGAGGGTGACCCCTTGGGTTTGTCTTAAGATCGTTCCTTCGGCTTCAAAGCCCAACCTGTTCCTTTGGTTCCCGTTTGAACACCAAGCCGACAAACAGTTCCTTTGGCCTTTTTTGGTGACTCGCATGGAATTGACGGTAGCCCCGCCCCGCCAGAACCTGGGATTCTCGAAATGGGATTTGCCCCCTTGGCATGTTCAAAAGGAAACCAACCAGAACACGATTTGACCAGTTCCCATGTCGAGAAACACCCTGAGAGCTGTTTCCAGAAAGGTCAACAGAAGAGTCCCCTTGGGGCGTTCAAACTTTGCGCCTTGTGTTCTTGGCTCGCGCAGAGCGGCGCAAAGTTTGTTTTCACAAAGAATACCTCCTGGTTGCAGGTATTTCAAATCAACGCCCAGAGGAAAAGCCTGGGATTCCGTTGCCTTCATTGAACCACTGGGGGTTTGTTACAACCACCATCGTTTACCTTGAGATGTTCATCATCTAACATTGGGTCAAGCATTCCTTCAAAATGGATCTTGAACGACAGCAGGAAAACAACAGGCCCAGCCGTCTCAGTGGCCCTCCCCCCATTGTCTCACCCATGTGCAGAGACACACGCAGACACGGACCTATATGGGTGTGGCTCAAAATGAAAGAGCCGGGGCAAACCGCAGGTTTTAGTCTTTGGTTCCATTTGCCAAGGTGTCATTTTGGTAGATGTATTTGAGCCACAGACCTATATGGACACACAGACAGACACGCGGCTAGGAAGAGCTTGCGCTTCGGGGCCTTCTTCAACCAGCCCCTCGAGGGTTTGATCGCGCCATGCCTGGAGCACCTGGCCTTCGGGGAGGAGTTCGACCAGAGCTTGGAGCAGGAGCAGAGGAAAAATACTCAAGGGGGGCCGGGGGGGGGGGTTCTCAAGGATTGTGTGGAAGAAGCCTGGGAATGGTTGGCTTCTTCATTTTTGGTGGGGTTCTTTCCCTTTTTGCTTGTTTGTGTGGAAGAAGCCTGGGAATGGTTGGCTTCTTCTTTTTTTGGTTGTTCTTTTTACAAGCCCGTTGCAACCCGATTGGCTTTAAACAGATACATCTTAAACAACCCAAAAAGGGTGCCCTGACTGGATTTCGAACGCGCCCCCCCCCAAAAAAAAATTCCAAAAGGGGAAACTAGCGACAGATAAGGCCAGCGTCAGGAGGTTTCCTTTGGCGTGTTTGGTTTACGTTTATGTGGGATCTTCCCCCAGAATATGGCTGTGGTTGTCAAAACCAATGGGATCCCATTTTGGGGGATTGGCGCACCCCCCATTTAAAAACCTATTTTAGTGTGGGTTGGGATGTTCACTCGGGGTACGGGCTTTTGACCCATGGCCATATGTCATTATAGGATCAACATATAAATGACCATCAGAACATAGTCTTGGAGTACCCCAGATCGGACGGGTAAACCTAGAAGGCAAAGAGGCAGTTGCAAATCTACAAGAAACCGCCAGAAAGACAGTATCCGCGTCCTAGCGTTCACTTGTTTCCCTTTTGGGAGAAAAGGTGTACCCTAAAGAAAGACGCACCCACATGTTGGGGCAGGGGGAAGACGGGATCAAGGCACGTGTTTGACTGAACTTGGGATGCGACTCACATGCTTGTCTTTGGCTTTACAAGATACTCTTTAAGAGGATTGCCAGTTCCCCCAAACGACTACACAGGAAAATGGGGTGTACCGTAAACTCGGGGCCTGCAAAATGGTGTTTGTTCTTTCAGTTCTATGGTGGCTAGTGGCTGTAGATCCCATGACTCCCCCCTGGGCGTGGTTCATCCAGACTCCTTGGCGCCCGCTTCGCAGGCGGCCCTTCCGGACACTCTCCTGAGCTTGGTCTTCGGAGAGAGGTACAACCAGAGTTTGGACAAGGCGCGGTCGGGTTTTGGCACTGAGACTTTGGTGCATTTTGCTTGGCTGTTTGGACTTTAACTTTTGCCAACTAGTGGGTTTTCCACTAAACCACTAAAAGTTAAACACTTTTAGCAGGGGAGCAGATTTCGCAACCGAGATTAGAAGCTTGTGGGGTACTCGGAACCTCCCCCCCGAAGCCCCGAAGGCCCGAAGGCCCGAAGGCCCGAAGGCCCAAAGGTGCGGGCCCCAATACTTTTTGGGAGTGGGGTATTTGGAAGCCCCCCAGATCGGCCCCCCGAAGTTCAAGAGAAGAGGCGTGCTGCTCAAATGGCCCTTGGTACCTGATGTACTTGGGGTCAAAAGAGTCGAGTATTTTTGCAGCAGGTGTCACGGTTTTGCATTTTTGAGCAGACAGGCTGTACCGTTTAGACTATTTACTATTTGCGCAGCGGACTTAAGCAGAGATACGCAGGCTGCAAGTGCATTTCATCTGAAATCTAGATTTGGACAAAGCGCAATTCTATTGCGCAATTTCAACACAACAAGCATTCCAAGCAAACATGGATCAACATGTAGACATGCTGGACGCCTCTAGAAATTATAGAAAGTGCACCCACAAAGACAAATGGGTGGTCCTTGCACAAAGATAGCTAGAAGGCAGGTGGCCGGAAAACACAGTTTGCTCCGTTGTAGACAGGATTATGTCCGCACAGCGAATTAGCCGGCTTTTGTTTGCACGGAATATGCAGAGTCTTTCTGTGCATTGTCTCTGCGCAAGTTTCTCTGCGCAAGTTCCATGAACAAGTTTCCCCGAGCAAGCTCCGAACAAGTTGCTCTGAGCAAACAGGATACAGTGGGTACCTTTTGCACAAACAAAGCGCATATGAGCAAGGGTCAAAACACGCTATGAAGAGTTCGTTACTTTGGCCGCCATGAAAGGACCAAAATGTTTAAACACATGTAGTAAGCGACAAGAGGGCCATGACAAGCGAAACCCCTTTTTAGGGCTAGCCGGTCTAAATGCTAGTATTTAGAGCCCTGGAGTATTACTCATGGATCCAAGATTGCTCCCCAAAATCCTTTCGAATCTTGGATCTCGGACCCAAGATCTGAATACCTGTATTTAGAAATCTAAATGCTGGTATTCAGATCTCAGGAGTACTTCTCATGGATCCAAGATTGCTCCCAAAAGTCTTAAGAATCTTGAATATTTAGAAATCTAAATGCTGCTCATGGATCCAAGATTGCTCCCAATAGTCCTTACAAATCTTGGACCTCGGATACAAGATCTGAACACCGGTATTTAGAAATCTAAATGCTGGTATTTGGATCTCATGAGTATTACTCATGGTTCCAAGATGGCTCCCAGAAGTCGTTACGAATCTTGGATCTTGGATCCAAGATCTGAATACTGATGTTTAGAATTTAAGTGCTGGTATTTAGATCTCCGGAGTATTACTCATGGATCCAAGATTGCTCCCGGAGGTCGGTCCTCGTGAATCTTGGATCTTGGATCCAAGATCTGAATCCTGGCATATAGAAATCTAAGTCCTGGTATTTTCATCTCAGGAGTATTATACATACATACATACATACATACATACATACATACATACATACATACATACATACATGCATGCATGCATGCATGCATGCATGCATGCATGCATGCATATAGGCATACTTGCATACATGCATAATATGCATACATGCATACATAGATACGTACATGCATACATACATACATACATACATACATACATACATACATACATAGATACGTACATGCATACATACATACACACATGCGTACACGCATGCATACATGCATACATGCATACATGCATACAAGCATACATGCATACATACATGCATTCATGCATACATGCATGCATACATACATACGTACCTACATACATGCATGCATACATGCATACATGCATGCATACATGCATACATTCATTCATACATGCATACATTCATTCATACATACATACATACGTACATACATACATGCATACACGCATACATACATAACTACATACATACTTGCATACATACATACATAAATACATACATGCATACATGCATACATGCATACATGCACACATCCATACATACATACATACATGCATACATGTGTACATACATTCATGCATACATACATTCATGCACGTACATTAAACCATACATACATTCATACATACATGCATACATACATGCATACATACATGCATGCATACACTCATATATACATACAAACATACATACATACATACATACAAACATGCATACATACATACATACATACATACATACATACATACATGCCAACATACATCCATGCATGCATGCATGCATACATACATGCATACATGCATACATACATACATACATGCATACATTCATACATACATGCATACATACGTACATACATGCATACCTACATGCATCCATACATACATACATACATAAATACATGCATACATACATACATAAATGCATGCAGACATACATGCATACACACATGCATACATACATACATACATGAATACATACGTACATTCGTACATACATGCATGCATACACGCATACATGCATACATGCATACATGCATACATACATGCATGCATGCATGCATGCATACATACATACACACATACACATGTATACAAAGCGGGTCTGTCGAAACATGACATGCCCCGCAATCAACAGCCGCGTAGGTTAGTGTCAAGCCGATCGGACACGTTCAATCCCAAGGTGAAGCTGCCCTACCTGCAGAGCCTGGCCTTTGGGGATGGCTTCCAACAGAGCCTCCTGTCTTTTTTTTGGGGGTTTCCTCTTAGGCTTGTTGTCTTCCTTGTTTGCCGTTCCTTCTTTGTCGATTTATTTGTTTTTGTTTTTGTTTCCTTTGTTTCCTTTGTGTTTGGCCAGACCTGGCAGCCCAGCCCGGCAATTTGGGATTCGTCCACTTCTTCAGCCAGCTCAGGTGATTTGTTCAAAACAGTTTGTTTGTTGAACAAGTTTCTGGCGTTATTTCCCAAGTTTTTGGGCTCTGTGCACTTGTTTTGGGGGGGGAATATCAGTCTAAACAAGCAGTTTGGACAGTGTTCGGCATGTCCACTCAGGAAGCAAGCCAAACGGTGTCCGCAGTTTTTGTCGTTTATTATACCAATGTTTGCGTGCTTTGTTTTTTTCGGCGAGGTGCCCGGTTCACTTCGACCTAAGCTTGGGGATGTTCCTACCAGCTGGCTTGTTCCTCATCAATCCTCAATCAGATGGTAATAGTTTCCCTAGCGGCGTCCCACCAAGGAAATTATTTGTTGATACCTCGGCGTCGTGATTACTTTGCTGGTGCGATAGGGAATGACCTTCCGGGTGTTGGGAATGAACCGTTTGGGGATTCCCGAATGAAGAAAGCCATCTCGGATGGATGGTTTTTCTCGGGGTTATTCCATTTCTCATTCCCCAAACGAACCGATGGCAAGTTGTCAGGCCTATTTCCAACTATGGATTATGGATATCAGAATCAGGCACCTCAAGTTCCTGGACATCAAACTGTTTGGGACGGCCAGTTTCGTGGAAAACCAAGCGTTTGGTTCCCAGCGTCGCACCCAGTTGCACGGATTGGGGAGCTGGTTTCCTGGGAGATTTTGGGTCGTCAGGCCTACAGGCTGACCTCCCCTCGCTGCAAGAGCTGAGCTTCGGACACAAGTTCAACGCGGCCTTGGAGCCGCTGCCGAGGCTGCAAGCCTTGACTCTGGGCTGCTCGACAGCTCCAGCCGAATCCGGTGGGTGTCCCCCAGCATTTTTATTGGGGCACGTCTGAAGTGGTCAAAGGTGCGGTGAGGCGTGCTTGCAGATCAGAACTGCTGAAGGAAAGCAATGGTCTAAAAGAATAGACAATAAAAAGGGCTCAAGACCTGTGAGCTGCAGATGGAAGCTTGTTTTCCTAGCAGTGAGGATATGGTTTCAACCAGAGCCTGGCGTCAGTGGAGCTGGATGGACTTCAACGACTGGTCCTGGGCCACGAGTTCAATCAGAGTCTGCCGCCACTGGGCGCCTTGCAACACCTGGTTTCCCGGAGAGTCAGCACCTCGTTTTTTCTTGCTTCGCTAGGGAATGAGTTGGAACGACCCCGAGAGAAGCCCATCCCCTATGGTTTCCTTGAAGGGAATCCCCAGGTTCATCTCAGGTTCAATCCCCGAAAGAAAACACTCACTTCTTGGGTCCCTCTATTTTGATGAGTGCGCATGCTAACCTTTTGCGGTCACTTGTGGGTCGGATCACTGAGGTTTGCGGTTACAAGTTCAACCAGAGCTTCGTGCAATACTCGAATCTTGAGAGCCTCACCATTGGGGGCGGATTCAAGCAACGATTGCAGCTCCCCTCAAGCCTGAAGATTCTGACCATCGAGTTTCAGGCGCACGAGGCATGGCTGGTCTGAGCGGAAGCCCTGTCAGCTCTTTGTCGGTTTGGCTGTCCTTGACCTATTTTCCTTCTGAACCACCACAAAGTGCAGAGTTTCAGGAGGTCCGAGTCTAAGTTTGGCTCTTCGACTCGTCTTTCCTTCTCTCAACCAAAGGGTGCAGATTTGTTTTGCGGGAGGTTTGAGTCTGAGGAAGATTTGCCTCGGCTGGTTCTGCCGGACGGCCTTGAATGCTTGACCTTTGGTCGCGACTTCCGGCAGAGTTTGGATGGGCTTCAGATGCCCTCGGGCCTTCAGACGTTGACACTGGGAGATCTCTTCAACCGCAGCCTGCAGCAGACGAGGCTGCCGAAACTTGGCCACAAGACTCCTTAGACGTCCTTGGGGGCTTAGAGTTGGAGTTGCGACATATGGGCGTGGCTCAAAAATAAAGACCCACGGTTACGCAGGTGCTAGTGTACTTTTGCATTTACCAGGGTTCCATTTTGGGCCCCTATGTTTTTGACCCACAGCCATATGGGTGTGGGTCATCATACAACACCAGGAGAACGCAGGGCTTGGTCCATGCTTCCATTTGCCAGGGCAAGCCATGTGGGCTACCTATTTTTGACCCACACCCATATCAGCGACATATCATGGGAGTTGCCATTGTTTGTTGGAATTCGCAAAGGGATCGAATCAGAACCAGGGTTTCTGACGGGTGGTGCGACCTGGATGTCGCAACCATCGGTATCCCACCGGGTTTTTCAGCTTTCAAATGCACGAGCTGAGGAGCGGTCTGAAGACTTTGAGTTTCGGCAGCAGCTTCAACCAGAGCTTGGACTTGGTGACTTTGCCAGCTGGCCTTCAGAATCCCGGGCGATTTCCTTTTTTTTGCAGGTGCTTTTTTGTCCTTTCTGCATCGAAGCCCCCGAACCCCCGCCCCCCCCCCCCCAAAAAAAAAAAAAGGCAATCAAACAGGGGGCTTGATTTTCAGATGGAGATCTGAGGAGTCTGAGCTTGGGGCACAAGTTCAACCATCCCTTGGAAGGCGTGCGGTGGCCGAATTTGCTCAGCCTGAGCTTTGGGCAGTCTTTCAACCAAGCCTTGGAGCAGGTGATGTTCCCCAGCACCTTGCAGAACCTCAGATTTGGCAGGCCGGATGTCCTTCTGGCGGTGAAACCACTTCGGAAATTGGTGAGCTTGGTTTTTGACGCGTTCTTTTTGTTGCCAAAGGACAAGACAATGTTTGGCTGAAGGGTAGCTTACATGGATGTTCTTTGGCCCTAGCCCCAGTGTGGTTCGGAGGAGCTTCACCCAGAGTTTGGAGCGTGTTGTGCTGCCCAGCGGACTGCAGAGCTTGAGCTTCGGGGACAATTACGCCCGAGCTCTGGACAGGGTACAACTGCCGCCTTTGCAAAGCTTGAGCCTGGGAGACATGTGGAAGCCTGGCTTGACAGAACTCGTTTTTGGGACTTGTTCATCGTTTAGGACTCTTTGAGACCCTTTCTTAAGTCCTGGAGCAAGGCATAG